AAACTGTACTTTTTCTATACGTCTGAATGTTAATTTTCTTACAAGTATAAATACGACTATAAAGAAGTCATTTATTATTCTTGAATAGGCAATGAAAATGATTAGTCTATACCTTTTATGTTGTAAAAAGGGTTTATGTCTTTAATTGAAAAATAAAATAAATTTTAGTCGTAATAAAACGATGACATAATTTTAATATAACTAAAATAACTTACTAACGTTTTCTGAGTTTCTAAAGTTTCCACTTATTTTGTCATTACCTAGCGATTCATTAATATAAGGTAAATTTGTTTCAATGAAGTAAAACTCAAGTTACTCAAGAAACGCGATTCATGAATTTATAGAACCACAAACACTAACAAATGTTAAACGTAGCTGGGAAACTAACCATAATTTAATTAGCGCGTACCAGCCTTCGACCACATTACGGATTATTCCCAACCGTCACCCCGTTCTCTCTCTCTGCGAAAGTTTAGATATGTAGATGGATGGATGTTTGTTTGTTAGAGTTTGTAGCCTAAACGGTTGAACGGATTTCGATGTAATTTGGCATCGATGTAGAGGATAGTGTGGAAGAACACATAGGTTACACAGTTTTTTTTAAATTTTTTTTTCAATTCTAGCAGACGGAGTCGCAGGCGAAAGCTAGTGATGTATAAAAATATCCTTGTATCGTCCTTTCATATAGATTTGTAAGTCAAATCGTGCGTGTGCGCAGGCGCAGAGCGTTAGCGCGTGTCTGTATGCGATCGTGTTTATTGTTTTTATTTTCCGACACCCGGATATTACATTAATGATTTAGCTGCGACCGAGGAAATGCCGCCTTTTACTTTTATTTGCTATCTATCTTATGCTTTTTGACAAAAAAAATGTCAACAATATGAGTTTGCACGGTTTTTTGTGTCTTTAAGAAGTTTGTTGTCATAAAAGTTGACGATACACTAAAAGGAAAATTAATGAGGTTATTGTGCTTTATAAAAAAAATTTCAACCCGATATGTTGTTACCCGGATTTTCATGAGTTTTTTTTAGAACAATATCACAAAATGACAAAAGACAGGATTTGTACATTTTAGCTGCAAAACTTTTAAACCAAAAACATCCCGGAAAATATACATTTTCAAGTTGTATAGAAAATATTATACAAATACATTTCAACGTGCATTTATTACAAAAATGTGTTTTTATTTTTGAAAAATACTGCAATATGTTACAAATGTTTCGGCAATGGAAACTCAATAGAAAACATTGTGGAAATAATACGTGCACATTATATTACATATAATGCAATATTGATTAATCCTCACAAACTATTGAAACCTACACTAAGACTCAATACAAATCAAGAACATTGGAGTACAGTCGCGGACGTTTATTTCCTACCCCAAAGAAGTATGTGACGAAGCTAATTTGTTCAAAGTCTTGCCATATATACATAGCATGTGTCTCTATTGGTGACAGTTTATGAAATTCGATCCTAAGTGGTAAGCTAATTTAATTCTTTAACTGAAAATATCGTCAGGGAGTTTAAATGCGTCAGCATGTCTCGGTCAGAGCTTCAACTAATGCAATTTATACATCGCTTAGCGGAAACCGGGCATTGCATGCGCCAGACTGATTTACAATACCAATTAGAATGATCGCAATTATTAAATTAACAATTAATTTACTGTTTTTCCTGATATATTTTCTTTATTATTTATTTTACACTAACTTTCGCTGGCGACTCCGTTCGCGTGAAATAATAAACCAAAAGTAAGTAGCCTATGTGTTCTTCCAGACTGTCCTCTATATTAATGGCCAAGTTTCGTTCAGCTGTTTAGGCTACAAACTCTAACAAACATCCATCCATCTATCTAATCTTTCACATTTATATCTAATATTAAATAATAAGTAAAATACCACAAAGAATATTTAACGGAATTTGTATTTAAAATTAATCATGTCCCTTCAATCGACTTAATTAAATTAAAAATAGCACAATTTTTTTCTCTAGTATATAACATAATTGTAACATGTCAGACCCGATTTACTTAAAACATTGGAAAAACAAAAGAAAGATCAGTTTTATCAATTCGAGTATCTCTCCTATAAAGTCCAATAGAATTACTCAATTTAATAAAGCAAGTTACGAGTTAAAAATAAAAATAGCTGAGCGCTCATAAAATTTCTAAATTAATCACACAGCGACGTTTATTTTTAAAATTACTATAAGGACTAATTTCCTCCAGATGTGAACTCCGACTTCTTCCTTGACTAAATACTCATAGTAATATTTCTTTTGACTGCGCTTGGTATTTATTTTCCATCAGCGGACTCAAATATTTACTGAGGTCCCTTTTTGCCGCTTCTTCGTTATATTCGCGGTAAATATTGCGGAACGTTACTTAATTATTATTCAATTTTAATGTTCTACGTCATTTAATAAGAGCGTCCCTCAGCGTACATTTAATATGAAAAAACACTACCATAATGCTTAAGTAAACTGATATAGTTAAAACCCAATAAAGAGTATTAATAGTCCAAAAAGTGTCATTAAAAGGTTCATCGTCAAAAAACCTCAATACATTTCCCGATACCTACATTAATGCGGTTTGGTCGCTTTCGAAGTCAAGTGTCAACGAAAATAGCGGGAATAGACGACGATTTTCGGCTGCTTTTTGTCGAGAGTAATGTTTAATTCACTGAAACCTTCCTCAAACGGCTTTCGACGCTGAAAAAAATACCGAATTCACCAAAGCAATATATACCTTTTTACCAGAGGTTTAAATAAAATAATCCCTACCAGGTACCTAATAGTAACAGTGTAAATAATAAAGATTTTAATCTCGGAAACAAAGAAATTAGTTTTTTGTTACAAAAATATAAAAGATTCAGGAATATGTATTCTAACTAAACAGATAAATACCTTTTATAATTCGAATCCGTCGTACCATAATAAAAAAAATAGTAAATAGCCTATGTGTTCGTTAAACGTTCTAGATCTATGCCTTTCATCGAGATCTGTGACATTCTGGACACTTATACTAAAAATTTATCCTTTCAGCCATCTTAAAAATCGCATTTATAACCAAAGATAGTAATAAGATTATTAATTTAGTAACACTTATAAATACGTTAAATGTATCGATAATTCGTATATTGTACAACGAGACTAACAAATTCTTAAATCTAAAATCAAATCGAAAACAAACATAATTTGTTACCTATACTTGTACTTCATCCGTGCACAGTACTACATCCTGTATGGATTGTAAACAAAAAGCCGACCGACAATAGGCCAGGTCGCCAGCCTACTTCACACGTCCCATGGTTCTGCATCCTGGCTGTATTATGGTAAGTAGCTGTTATGTCTAAAATACAAGAGAAATTCATTGTCTTATTTTGACAATAATAAAATAAGATAAATTGAATAAAAATTGATCGACTTGTTCTTTATAGGTAGCTTTCGCCCGCGACTCCGTGGAATTAAAAAAACAAAACTAAGTAGCCTATGTGTTCTTCCAGACTATCCTATACGTCTATGCCAAATTTCATCAAAATCCGTTCAGCCGTTTACGCTACAAATTCAAACAAACATCCATCCATTCATCTAAATTTTTGCATTTGGAATATTAGTATGATATGATGATCAAATACGTAAAACACATGCGATGTCCATCTGCTATCTATGTAATGTAACTAATAGCTAGAGATATAAATGACTTTAATAATTAACCCTCCGTGTATCGGATTACATGGTTTAGTTTATAAGTTTATTTACCACGAAGCCTTCTAACTGTCCGATATACAAAACAGCTGACTCACGCAACCTAGTTATAATAGCGACTAAAAGCGTTTCATTATTGTCTATTTTTGCTACCGGTGTTATTTTATGTAGGTACATGCCAGTTTGTAATTTTATATTTTTTGGGCCGGTTGATCTTATTACACTTAGTTTAAAAAAAAAATTCTTTACAGCTACATACCATAGTGCGTCTTTATCACCGGATCTCAGCTGCAAGTTGAACCGTGCCCGAGTCTTTATTCCTATTGACGTCATTCTTTTCCATCTCGGACAAATTGATTCAAGTTAAAAAATATTGTTAAAGAACATTCGGCTACATTTCTCACAAAACCAAGTTTATAAGGACAATGCGTTTTGACAATTTGATTGAATTTGCTCTGAAAGATTTTTTTTTTTTACAACTTTACATTATATCGAGGATCGTATAGATAAATAGCTATCTATTTTCATAACCATTACAAAAAAGTAGAATCTTATTTCAGTTAAAGAATGTTCAGACTAGGCGAATAAATTACTCACGTAGATATATTTCACAGCTTCACATGCTAATGTTGTATTTCAATTTTATTAAGTGCCCGACTACTTAGAACTAAGTGACTACTTACTAGTAAGCAAACAAATTACGATTTATGGACATGACCTATTAATAATAGCACAAATTAACTATTTTTGTAACACTATTATCGTATTTATAGTGTTACCGTTAGAAACACGTTAAACCTAACCCACGCTCTTTTAAGTTGTATTTTATTACATAGATAAGTACCAATCTTACGCTTTCTCCCAAACGTGGGCGACACGCCGACCGACACTGAGCCTCCATTCATGGCCCAATCGTATTTACCTACGTCTCGACAACGTGCGATAGTAACAAAAATAACACGACACCAATCGACGGACGAATCTTGATAAACATTGTTTACTTGCAGATTACAACGCGCACAGCGACGGTAAATATGGAAATATCGAATTCAATTCCTTGGACGTGTGCGTAAAGAATTGACAATTATTCAGTTCGTGATTCGTGCAATACAAGATTGTATAGATCGGATACAAGTTTACGTCGTGTTGACATTGAAAGTTACGCAAGTCAAACTCGAGTGCAGCCACTGGGTTTTCGAGACTGCATACATAGTGATGTCAATATGAGTCTATATTTCGTCTGACGACCAACAAAAAGCCGGAATGCCGCGTTTAAAGACGGCCCCTCTTACCTCTGTCGCTCGTACGTATCCTGCGAGGGCTAAACATGACAGCCATAGGTATATCCGAAAATGCATCACAGCAATGTTATCCGGCTCCGCCGCTCCGGTGGTTGCACAACACTAATATCACACCACACAACAATTTGCTGTTATGTTATTACACTAACACTTTAAACACGGACACAACAACGCGAGAAGCGACATGCACCCTCTAGACAGGTCTGTAGTAAACTGAGTGCCGCTTGGCGCTCTCTTCACTGCGTTGAAACCGCGCGCCCCTGCAAATGAATATCGGATAACTTCGTTAGTGTGAGTTTTCGTTTTCGTTCAGCTTTGATTTTCATCTAATTTTCAATTTTCTCAATTCCCAGTAACGTATTTTAGGTCCCACAATTTGACATTTTATAAGACAGGTTTTATAAAGTTCAATACATGGAATTCTTAGAAAACACAAAAAGCACTGCAAGTCACAGAACAGTTCTAAATATAGGCACATGTTATAGGACAGAAATAATATTACTCTGCTAGAGCGCCGACGGTTCAGTCTGTGATAAACACACCTTTGCAGTTGACATTTTCTTGCTATGGAATTAAGTAGGTAATTATAAAATCATGCTGCAATATTTATTTTGTGCATGAAATCTAAATTATTTGTGAATCAAGACGATTACAAAATGACAAAGCTAAAAAGGGCAATGTGATATGAAGATTTTTAAATGAACATTCTTTTATTGGATCTACCCACAATTAGATAATCACACAAAAAATAATTTACGCGGTTAGCTTACGCATATGTAATGCAGAAACTTATTATTTACACAATTACATTTATAAAAATTCAAAACAAGGCTCCCAAACAATTAATTTGGTACAAATCGTAGGAATGTTTCACTTTTATGAACATATTACAAGCGCCATCTATGATCTTAAAAAGGCATCGCAATAAATGTCTGCTAATTTAGTTTGTATTATCTCTCCTAGATGTCGCTTTTCCACAAAGAATTACTGGTTCTAAACCTAAGAAACCATACCAGGTGCTTTACTTCATAAATAACTTTTTCCATCATCCTGCCTAACCCTTACTAGTGTTATTTTTATAGAAAAGGCATAAATTTATAAGCTCGGTATAACACCCCCATCATACAGGAATCCTGCCCTGCTATCGGCAGAGGACATTTCGAATTAACAAGGTGTACGTTTAAATATCATAGTATTAGAAAAGGTATGTGGCTGTATAATGCATTACTTATTAGGGTTTACAACCATTACAAAATAAAACCAGCATTTAGAAATATATTTCTTGCTCAAACCTCAACATAAACTAAAGTAAATAAAAGCAAACAATTTTCACATTAAAATCTTAACTCTTTTAACTACATTGTATCATAAGTGATCTTTCAAAGCAATATTGATGTTAACCCTTTAACAGCTGATTAATGTTTACTTCTCCTCCATCTTTGCCATCTGCTCCTTCTGACGTCGGATAGCATCCTCATGGCGCTTGATCTGTTCTTGATGGAAGGCAATCTCTTGACTGAATACCTGCTTCATATTCGACAACTGCTCCTTTTGCTGAAAAACATTAAAACAAAATTACTATACATTCATCATTCTTCATTAATTAAAGAATATTCATTTATAATTTTTTTTTTACACAAAACTTAACCTAATTTACATTTTATTTTAACATAAATATAATTCAAAATTTTCATAAACAGTAAAGTAAAATGTATTAAAGTGAAGCTGTAGGCTAGTTTGCTTATTTGCAAATTGTTTAATTATTATCTGTACTAGTATGAAACTGTATTATCTCTGGAGGGGTTCAGGCATTCCCGCAGTGTCCGTGCCAATCATCCATAGGCATGGCTTATCTGATGGCGTTATTGGGTTGTTGTCTCATCGCCTCGCTCAAATTTCATCCCCTATCCATTCACCCCCTCCACAAAAAACCACGGCAGAACAGAACATAACAGTGCAACCAATTTACTGTTAGTGTATTAAAAGTTGTTACTGTACAAGAAAAATACACTGATTAACACTGGGATTTTTGATTATTTTTATTCTAGATTTATTTACTTAACCTATATGAATTGTTTTTATTGATTATTTTATCATCATTATCTTATCTTACTAATATTATAACTGCTTCAGCATTTGTTTGAGAACTTGTCACCAGACAAATTGAGAACAGCTTAAGAAATATGAATGGAATTACAAAAAAAAGTAGAATAGTCTCAAACAACCATACACTCAGTTCTTTTTTTAATTCGATACACATATTGCATGTGACAATTTCTAACATTATATGTTTTATTTTTATTGTAAATGTAAACTTTAAAGTCTTAACAAACCTTCTTGTAAAAGTATTCATCCTCTCTAGCAGCCTGCATTTTTCCGAAGGAGCCACCAGCATCACGGATGGCGCCACCAGTGCCGCCTCCCTTACCAGCTCCAGAACCAGGCTCACCAGAATACATTCTGTAATGTTTGACAATATTTGTTGAAGCAAAACACAAATCGCATCACAATTTACCATTTCTGCTCATCATCTCCGTCATCCCAAACATATACTCTACCTCAAACATACCTCTACCAATGTAACCCCTCGACACCCCTAATTAAAATTCTCCTTGTCATAATTCTTACCTTATAACATACTAATACCATTTTAACTACTACTATTATTGTATTAAAATTGTTCCTAATGAAAAAGAACTCATTCTTATCGGCACTAATTCAATCAATATCAAAGAACACAAAAAGCACTCACAGACCACACACAGTGATTATGAGTAAGTAAATAAACAATCTATTTATAAGGTGGATTACACCATAGAGATCATTATTAGTATATGCATATTATAACAAAGAAATAAGAAAATGACGAACAAATACAATTTACAAACTTAATTGCACATACTTTATGATTTTATGATAAAATCTTCTGGCTTAGGCAAATAAATATCACAACAAAGGATAAAGCAAAAAAAAAGAATATAAAAACAATTGACAGTTAAAGTTACTTCTAGAATGATTCCTTTGTTCTCAATGTTCTGTCAAAGACAATATGCCTGACAGACTTCATTGCTATTTTTAACGTGAATTTTTAAACTAATTGTAAATTAGAAATTATTGTATCAAAACAGATAGATATTTTTATAGATAAGATTAGTAGCCAATACTCTTAGGTGATTTTGTAGGTTAGGACGAATAGCTGCTTTTAAAAAAGGCTATAACAAAATAATAAATATTACTAGATCATTATGATTTGAGTAATAACTTAAGTTATTGTAAATTAGTACAAAAATCAAAAATACATAGAAAATTTTAGGTGAGATTGCGTAATCATTAAGCCGGTAGTAATTGATAATACCTTAAGCTTGCAATAGCGGGCCTCAATGATGTTCTTGTTTTCGAAATGAAACTCATGACTTTTATATCAATTAGTACTTTAAATATAAAATGTGGAAGATATCCAATATTCCTACAAAAATAAGAAGTGACATAAAGCCATATAGACAATCCGTAAGGATTTAATTGTCTATGGATTTCATAGAATTGGTACTAAGACTTTCGGCCAGGAATAACATTACTAAAACGAATTATAGTAATTATACCTAGTTTCCAATTCATTAAACACTTCTTTAATAATAAACATAAAAAGCAGAAACAAAATATTATGTAGAAGAGACATTTTAATACAACGCCTTTATAATGTGATATAGTAACGTCAAATTATACCTTGAGACTCATATGCTATTTTATTTTTACAGTAATTATATGAAAAAAGTGATTAACACCGTTGTTTAAAGCCTTGATTGTATGTATACTTACCCCATTTCAACATTTTTCACCCACAAAACATGCTTAAGTTTTTGCTCTGCAATGATTTTATTCAATTCCGCAGCTTCTCTCATTGCTCTAGCTACTTGTCTTTCTTCCTTTAGCGTCTCGAGTTTTAATTGCTTTTCCACCGCGGAATAACTGTAAGATATTGGTATAAGTTTTTTACCAATTTCAAATCCAATTCAAACTAGCAAGCGGAAGCGGATAACCTAATGGTTAGTAACCGCTATCTATATCCTAATGAATTGCGTAGACATAGTGACGTATAATATATGCCTATCATTAATGGACAGAGGACAAAACAGTATAAGTAGAATGCTCCTATCCTAGCTTTTTATCGTGCTCTTATTAAAAAGTGCCGTGAAGAGTAAATGGACAAGGTTTGGCTTTGCGGCACTTTATTCATCAAACGCTATCTGATTCGCGCATTTCTCTTGTATTTTGACTATGTTAGTTGTTACCGGCTCTTTCACTGATTAACTTAAATATAATTATAATAAGAACCATCAACACGTGTAAGCAAAAAAAACATGTAAACCACTGCGACCTATCATAGTATGCATATTTCTGAAATAAACGAATTGTAATCAATTACTATTTTTTATAACCATGCAACTTACTTGAAAAAATCTCGAAATTCTGCGTGAAATGGATTGATGTTTAATCCAGGCTTAAAGGACATATCGGTCATAGCACAAACATTTCTCATCGTATTATTACTGTTTTCTTCGTTTCCTTCATTATTTTCTTGTTCTGTAATTTCTGACATTTGTACTGGTTGTTCTGGAGATGACGATTCCGAAGACTCAAACGTATTATGGTTAGTCAAGTTTTCTTGGTTAGAATCGTACTCCATGCTATTATCTTCAACGTCACAGGACTGTAGCATATCTCTGAAATTATTAATTTTATCTTTCATTTTATGCTTGTAATTTAATAGTGAAAATTATGTGAAAGAACGTCAATTCTTTTTAACGTCAAATACAAATGTCATTGATTTATAATTATAACTTTAAGCTGACTTTACATAATTTGAATGTTAAAATAAAATATCCCAGTATAATCAATTAATTTTAAATGTTTCGATTTACTTACTCATCTACACTTTCTGCCTTAACCTCAATATTCGCACTAAGCGTTCCATGAACACTTTCGTCGTCCCTTTTTATAGAGTCGTCTTTCAAGAATTCAAGAATGCTGCACACCTCCTGAGATTGTCGCGTATACTTTTGCACATCTGATCCGCTTTGCGATATTTCTTCACGTGCTATTCGTTTCATATTTTGCCATTGAGTTTTAACTTTTTTGATTGAACTTTCTGAAAACTTGCTGCCAAATTTAGCAGCTAACTCGCTCAATATTTCATTCCAGGCCGCGTCTTTTTCTTCAGATTGGTTAGGGCCATTGTTAGGTTTAGTAACAATCACCTCCTTACGTTCCTTAATTAACTCTAGTAGGTATTGTTTTTCCTCGAGCGACCAATTTGGTGTTCGCGACCGACGACTGGTGATTTTTCTCATTTTCACCGGCACAACAGGAGGTACGTGATTAATCTTTTGCAACGATTTGTTGCAAACGATGCACTCGACGTCCAAAATTATTGGTTTCCACATTTAAAAACAATTGAAAGGCGAAAAACGAGCGAAAAGTATTTGACTTGACAAGCCGGCGCTAACTGCGTGTATGATTTTTAAAAACTATATGCAACATATGAAGTTTTCATTAAAATTATTTTTCAATGCACTTCATAAAATTGAAATTAAGTATTTTCAATGAGGCCACGGACTATATAAGGCTAATATTCAATTAATTATTGTTTTTTTACCGATATTTTGTAATTCGTGCTGAAATAGTTTCAATTGAAGTAAGCGTCATGTGCAACATTTTAATAAAAACTTTTTCGATTGTTGTTAAAACAATATTAACTGTGAATATCATTGTATACAAAACTATGGTAAACTAACTAATATTATATATGCGAATGTTTAGATGGATGGATGGATGTTTGTTAGAGTTTCTAGCCTAAACGGCTTAACGTACCTTAATGAAATTTGGCATAGATGTAGAGCAGAGCATGGAAGAACACATAGGCTACTTACTTTTGTTTTTATTGATACCACGCGGACGGAGTCGGCGGCGAAAGCTAGTTTCTTATATTAAAAACATTGTTTGGCTAAAATTTTTATACTAATGTGTTATTTATATACGAATAACTATCTGTTTCAAGTTACTTTTAAAATACTCGTAACATCTTTACATAGTTAATTATACCATAAACAAGAGTCCCTATAACATCTTCCTCCGTGGTGGAGTATCAGTGGGATTTGAGGAGCATTTGTCCAAATTCTAAACGTGACAAATAACAATAATTGTAGGTAACAAGATAAGCAAAAACGTGAGCCAGCAAAAGAAAATACGGAAGCTTATTAGTACAAAGTAAATCCTATTCTACGGATTTGAGCATTGAACTTTTGACCTGCTCTAAGCATGTCACAACGCCATAAAATTATTTTACTTTTAGTAGTTAGAACATATTTTAGATTTTAATTCGAAGCATGTCATTAGTACTTTGTTCCTGTATTTTTTAGAGTTGCATATAATAACGGAGAAGTTCCTATAGCAACACTAAAATATAGGATTCGTGTTAAGTAAATTTTGTCGTCTGACCTTGAACGCAGCATTCGCAGCTAGATAAATGTATAAAGAGGTTGGTACAAATGGCAGCTATGTTGAGATATAGCAACAGATAATAGCGCATCACACACGAACGTACACTGCACGTTGGTCCTTCATATAATGTTTAATGAGAAGATCCATTGACTCAAACGCATAGTTAAGGAATAAACATCATTTATTAAATGAAGTTAGCTTTATTTTTTTTTCAATAAATGTCTGAATCTTAGTCGTAATTCATTTCAAAACATTTCGCCATCATTAAATTCTTGCTGTATTTCTGCTCTCGATCCTAAAATAACAGTTGAAACCAAGTCCCCTCTTGGAGGCCTTGCGTTGCCCTTACAAGGTTAAAATCATCTCGGCCACCTCAAAACGTTAATTTGAATACAGTGATAGCCCTAAAAGTGTTAAGCAAGGTTCCCTAAGAGCCAATTTCCACTTTGTAGCATGCTGTGCGACTCTGGCCACGTGACGCCTTGTTGTAGCAGTTGTGGTCGCGCCAGTGGAAATGCTCGTCACGTCCTACAAAAGTTGGTGTACGCTATAGACAAAATTGAACCTTATGTCACTCAAATCCTAGAGTGGAAACACACGGTTAATATTTTTTAATAAAATGATTGACCATATCAAAGTTTTCTGAATCTATGTCGGCGTTTTCAAGGTTATCCGCGCTATAAACAATAAAAAAGGTTTTATTAGTTAGTCATTTCTATGGTTGCGTAGTAACAATAATTACATAGGAAATCATTTTATAGCGAAATTCCGTCTTGTCACAAAATAAAATAATTTCTATTACAAAAAAGTAAAAGTTGGTGACCGTAGGGCCCAATCTTTGTTAAATGTTTAAGCCTGGTTTTGACTGGGGACATAACTAGCGAATCGTCGATTTTTATGGGTTTATTAATACTGTATATATCTCAATTACTCGATGGATAATGATTCATAAAAAAAAATAGATTAAATGTATACAACTGAACGCAACGCAAAGAATTTCTATAGGTCGTTACCAAAAAAGGGAAGTACAACTTTAATTTCATAATCATAAAGTAATTAAGTTACCAGGTAGATAATTACTGTAAAATAATTGAATTTATTTTATCAATTTCAGTTGAAAGTTTCATAAAGATAAGTTCAATTTCTTGCTCACTAATTCAGTCGACGAGAGAGGCTCGTATGTGTCGCTTGTGAGGTGAGCGCTAACGGTAGACAAACGTCGATTAGGCGATTTTTATAACAGTGTTACTTGTATTGAAATTAGTAATAGACTAATTTTGGAAATAATTGTTAATTTACATAATACGTTTTGTGTTAGAACCGGCTAGTAAAACCGGATCGGACGTTTGAAAATCCTGTGAGATATTGATGCGCTCGAATTGAAATAACATTAATAGATTTTAGTTTAATCACTGCAAGTGCTTTTTTTTTATTTTTAATTAGGTAAGTTTTTCTTTTTTCTTATAATAATCTTTTTTCTATAACCTGCCTATAAGATGTAGCCTCTATGCGACTTTTTGTGACATTTTGAACTATATAAAAAAATTGGAAATATATAAAATCGAAATTATAACGTGTTTAGTAATACGCGTTATTTCTAATGTTACTAATTAAAAAAATCTAACCTTTCACCGTAAAATTGTCCAACTTTTAATTATTCTCAGAAAGAGAATTTTGAAAAAACCGCTAGCATAACCAGTTTTTGGTTGATAATTTCAATCGTCCTTGAAACTTCGCGTCGTATTTTCAAAATAATAACATAGATATCTCCAATGACAAAAAATAACTACACTTTTATTTTACGATTTTTTTTAAATAACTTTACAGTTCTGAAATTGATAATGGCAATGAATATTACTCAACCGCTGTTAGATTTTCCGCGTAATACTTACCTTGAGGACTATAGACAATAATTATCATAAATCTCTATTAAATTTTAATGAGAAATAACGAAAGTTCACGGAAGACATTCCTTTTAGTAATATTAATGGGTATGTATAATATTTTAGAAGAGGATATGCTTCAGAAAGGAGTGGATTCAGATATGACGGCTGATAGAGATGTATGGAAGAGCAACACATATTGTGCCGACCCTCCGTAAGGGATAAGGGCAAGTGGATGATGATGATGTATAACTTGTTATCCTCTCAAATTTGTAACTTTAACTCTTAATTACCTATTCGTAAATAACAGATGTAAGAAAAGGTCTAACTTACTTTAACTCAATTTATTTAATACTAGCTGTTGCCCGCGACTTCTTCCGCGTGGTATTAGAAAACATACGAACTATAAATAACAAAAAGCTACGTATCCCTCGAAAAACGGACATTTCTCGGGGATGAACCTTATCCCATGTGTACTCCAGACTGTGTTTTATATCTGTGTCAAATTTCAATAAGATATGTTGAACCGTTGCAGAATGATCGAGTAAACATTAAAAAACTAAATTAATGCATGCCACGGAAACCGTAACTATTCCCGGGATAAAAAGTGGCTTATGTGTTCTTCCAGACTATGCTCTGAACCTGTGCACATTTTGCAAATTTTCATGGAGATCCGTTCAGCCGTTTAGGCTACAAACGCTAACAAACATCCATCCATCTAAACTTTCGCATTTATAATATTAGTAAGATTATTTTGACTTACAAACATGAAGAATTAAGTAAAATACCGATGTCATGAGTAATTATTAATTGATATTTAATTTAAAATTAATGTCCTCTATTGCATAACAAACTTTAAAACAATTTGATGTTAATTTATTTAGAATATTTTTGTAGTTACTAAAAGGTTATAAACAATCACGTGACATAAATTCTTAAGGGCCTCTATTAGGAATTCGTAGAACTTCTGTTAAATGCCAAGCGTTATTTTAAACCACAAGATATAATCAATACTGTTATATAAATACGTTTTTAACCGATTTTTTGTTAGACATATAATTCTAGAGGTTATGAATTTTAGAAGTTACCATCAAATTTAATAAACAAAAAAGGTGTAGAGAAACAAAGATTGTAGACCTGTGAGATGCTTCATACCCAACAAGCACACGATTAAAGTAGTAGATTTATGCAGTAATATTATATTTAATGTAGAGGGAAATAATAACTACAAGGTAAATGTATTTTTACGTCTATTGTAATACTAAGGCCTATGAAAATTAAGTTTAACATTACTCTGAACTTAAACTAAACAATTGTGTTTCTTAAAATATGTTGTTCCGACGGAAACTATTAAATGCTGAATTCATAGATAGTGCTGGTTTAAGACTCTGTGCGAGATTTTACGGCACATTTTACCATGCTTTTGAAGGGGTTACGCGGGACTGTTATTCGGAAAAGTGTGCGTTACTGTCCAATACCATGAACGAACACCTAACCGCGCTCTGTCCTACCGGTACTTCACACACATATTCTACATATATCTGCATTGCCGATGACGAGAATCGCATTTTTTTTGTCTGTTTGTCTGTTACAAGCCGCGTGTTCGTAGGGATTTTCACTGAAGGGTACCTGACATGGATAGGCATATTATAGGCTACTTATTTGTTTTAATTCCGGGCTATCAAAATGGCTTGATGGGCGGTCCAAATTTGGGATAACGATGTTTGCGGGCGACAGCTCGTTGATCATGTTATAAGAAACAATATTTTGTATTTGAAAGTATAAAATTTATCAAGCCATTTACACAGTGAACTTTATACGTTTGCTTGTAATTGCTGTATACACTAGCAATAACAATTATTCAAAGTCTTTATAAAATCCGTCTAATTTATTTCTAACATCAAAAGGACGCGAGGCGTAACTTTAAAAGCTATCCGAGATAAGATTTTTTTACAATTGTGTTATCTAAACTTGTATTTCACCCGGAATAGTGATGTAACTGAATATACAGAAAATAGTAAAAACGAAAATATCATATTTATTTATAAA